TTGCAAAGTTTAAGCCTGGAAGCCCTGGGAAAAAAAGGGGAATCGGCGGGGACTCACCTTCGGAGAGGTCGCACTCGAAGGTGATTTCGAACTCCCAGCCGAGGCCTTTGCAAAGTTCTTCTTTTCTTTCCTACCCCGAGAGCGCTCCGCACTGTTTTGCAGCTTTGGGGGCCACGCGGCGCAGGGCAATATGCCACGCCCAGCTATTTTTTTTCAGGGGCGGGCCGGATTGGACAGACCAACGGGCCAGATGTGGCCCGCGGGCCGTAGTTTGCCCACCCCTGCCCTAACCCATCCCAGCAAGTCGATGGGTCGTTGATAGGCGGAGCCCCTTCTACGCTCCTCACCGAGCCCATCAGGTTAGAGATGGGCCGGCACTGGGAACTCATCTGTTTCGTGGTAGCACCAAAAATGACAGAAGCAGTGATTCTAGGCCTGGCATGGCTAGACAAATGGGGCCCCACCATCTCCTAGGAAGGTGGCTGCAGAAAGCTGAGACTGTTGAATAGGTCCTCTCCCCTCTCCCAGCGATGCCGCAAAGGGAGACATCCAGCGGCTGAGCAACACTAAGCAAACTGAGACAGCCTCAGCCATCTCAACGCTGCCCCCAGGCACACCCCAGGTCCCCAAGGAATACCGAGACCTCACCAAGGTGTTCAGCAAGAAAGAATGCAACATGCTGTCCCCACCACCACCCCACAGATTGCGATAGAATTCATACCAGGGGCTAAACTACCTAAACCAAAAATGTACTCCATGACCCCCAAAGAGCTGAGAGACTACATGAACACCAACCTAGCCCGCAGATCCATACAACTCTCCCAATCCAGAGTGGTTGCCCCGTCCTCTTTAAAGAGAAAAAAGATGGGTTGATGAGGCTCTGCGTGTCAACTCATAAAACATTTCTATGCCTGTTTTAGAGTTGCCATGAACAGAGGAGCGGGGATTTGAAAGAAGAGTGCAGCAGTTAAAACTGAAAGTGTATTCCATTCTTATCTTGCAAAGATTGTAACTAAGCTATCGGAATTTCTGCCGTGCAAATTCCTAATTGGAGAGAGTGATTGATGACTCTTGGCTATGAATGTGTTTCATTGGAGAATATGAATTATGATACACCCAGAGGGGTGGGGGGAAACCAGGGTCAAGGGTGACAGTGAATGAATTACATGTCTCAGAATTGGCTACATACAGGTCATGTCGACATGTTCGCTCCTAATAAATCCTTTGAAGTTTTTGAAGTTTGGCTCGAGGCACATAATTTAATTAGGGCAACTGCCGGAATCCTGACACTGTGTTGATTTTAGGGGAATAAATGCAGTTTGTGTACAAAATACATACCCACTCCTCCTCATGAAGGACTTACTGGCCCACCTGGCAAAGGGGAAAGTGTTCACAAAACTAGACCTACAAGAAGCTTATTACTGAATACGAATTAGAGGAGACAAGTGGAAAACTGCCTTCAACTGTCCCTTAGGGCGCTTTCAATTCAAAGTGATGCCCTTTGGTGTGCAAGGAGCCCCCGCAGTCTTCATGCAGCTGATCAATGACATGCTGCATGAGCACCTATACAAAGGGGTCGTGTACTTAGATGACATCCTCATCTTCACTGAGACCCTTGAGGAACATGTCAAATTAGTGCGCCAAGTACTAAAGAAACTCCTTGCGGCTAAGCTATACGCGAAGCTGTCAAAATGTGAATTTCACAAGTCTAGCCTAGACTACCTGGGCTACCAAGTGTCAAATGAAGGCATATAAATGGACCCAGTGAAAGTTAAAGCAGTCCTAGACTGGCAGCCCCCTTGCACTCGAAAGCAGCTGCAAAGCTTCCTGGGATTCGCAAATTTCTACAGACAATTCATCTCCTCTTTTGCTGAAATCGCCTTACCTATCACTGAATTGCTAAAATTGGGGGGAGGGGGGAGTGTCAGCAGGCATTTGAGCTCAAAAAACTATTTGCCAAGGAGCTGATCCTCAAACACCCCAATCCAGAGCAACCCTTCATAGTCCAAGCCGATGCCAGCGATGTGGCAGTCACAGCAGTCCTCCTTCAAAGAAACGCGGAGGGCAACCTGCAGCCCTGCGCATACACCTCCAAGAAATTGACAGAAACCAAAAGGTGGGCGGTATGGGAGAAAAGGTGGGCAGTGTGGGAGGAGGTCTACGCGGTCTGGTGGGCCGTCCTAATGTGGCGACTTTCTAGAGGGCAGCCATGTGCCTTTTGAATTGTGGACAGATCATAAGAACCTAGCAGCACTCAAAACCCCCTGGAGACTCCCCCCGAAACACGTCCGGTGGGCACAGTACTTTAAATGCTTCAACTATGAGCTAAAATACATCCCTGGGGGGAAAAAACCTCCTGGCCGATGCATTGTCGCATAAACCACAATATGACAGTAAATGTGATGAGGTGGTCCAGCCTATGCTTCCCACCTCCCAAACAGCAGCGCAAGCCACAACCAGGAGACAGACGAAGCAGCAGAGAAATGCAGATTGGGGGGAGGGTGACCCAAAGGCTAAAAGATGAACTGCCAGCCGACCCTTGGTACAAGGACAATAAAGGGGTGCTGACGCTCAAGGATGAACTAGTGTGGAAAGGCTCGAAACTGTACATGCCCAGTAGCCTGCGGCTCCAAGTGCTCCAGAAAAGTCACGATTCCAAGCAAACAGGGCACTTTGGATATTTAAAAAACCTATACCTGGCCAGGAGGCAGTTTTGGTGGCCAAAAATAAAGGACATGGAAGACTATGTCAAGAGCTGCGCCACCTGTGCAGCCATGAAAAAAAGCCCCGGAAAGCCCCCAGGGCTACTCCAACAAGTGACAGATCCATCCCGGTCCCGGGAGGAGATTGCCATGGACTTCATTGTAGAACTTCCTGATAATGGGGGAAATATGGTCATTTGGACTGTAATAGATTTGTTCTCAAAGCCAAGCCCATTTCATAGCTTGCCCCAGTCTAGCTAGCCAAGTTGTTTGTAAAACACATCTATAGATTGCATCAGGTTCCCTGTAGGATAATCTCTGATGGGGTGGGGTGCAGTTCATAAAGTCCATTGGGTCCTCACAGGGGCTTAGCTCAGCATTTCCTCCGAGTACCAATGGGGCCACAGAATGAGCGAACGTGACAATGGAGCAATACTTGAGGTGCTATGTCAACTATCAGCAAATGGATTGGGCAGAGCTGCTGCCATTTGCTGAAGTGGCGTACAACAACTCAGTGCATAGTAGCACTGGTTTGACCCCTTTCCAAGTCACCAGTGACATAGAATTCATCCCCATGCCTGAGCTCCCTAGGGAGCCACCCTCATCTATGTTGTTGATTGAATGCATGGAGACCCTGAAAAAAGCATGGGAGACTACTAAGCGAGCCCTTCAAGAAGCAGCAAAAACCCATAAAGCACAAGCCAACAAGTGTCGAGTTCCCCAAGTGCCTTTCCAAGTGGGAAGCAAGGTTTACCTCTCAACGAAGTATTTGAAGCTAAAGCTCCCTTGCAAAAAGTTGGGGCCCAAGTTTATTGGGCCTTTTCTGGTAGTGAAAGTCATTAACCCGGCTACCATACAGCTTAAGCTCTCCCGCCTGTTAGGGAAAGTGCATCCAGTCTTTCACAGCAGTTTGTTAAAGCCGGCAGTAGGCTCCCAGCTCAGACTGGTACATCGGGCAGCCCCAAAACCAGTTGTAGTACAGAGAGAGATGCCCTATGAGATCAAACAAATTTTAGATTCAAGACTGTACAAGGGGAGGTTGCAGTCTTTAGTACAATGGAAGGGGTACTCACTATCAGAAGCTACCTGGGTCAAGAGCTGGGATGTAAAGGCAGATAGGTTGGTTAAGCAATTTCATAATAAGTATCCACAGAAGCCTAAGTGGGGGGGGGGGGGGGGGGTTGGCAGGG